TCTCCTCTCTCTCTCTCTCCTCTCTCTCTCTCTCTCTTTCGCTTTCTGTGTGAGTGTGTCCCAGAAAAAAATAATGGGCTAATGTTTTCAGGTGAATCATAGATCTAATTGAAGCTGAATTTTCAACCTAACTCACAAGTTCAACTTATTATCATTTTGCGGGGGGAAAAAATATTTCGCTGAATACCAAACCGGGCGTGCTCTTGCATATAAATCATTTTATTGATGCAGCTGATGAGAAGAATAACCCCATCCTACTCTCCCCTCTTCTCCCACTCTCTCCTCCTCTCCCCACCTCTACTCCCATCCTCTCACCCCCTCCTCTCCTCTCCCCTCTTCTCACCTCTCTTCCCTTCCTCCCACCCATCCCCTCCCCTCTTCCAACCCTCTCTCCTCCCCTCCTCTCTCCTCCCCTCCCCGCCTCTCCCCCCCCCTCCCCCCCCCTCCCCCCCTCACATCTCTTTCTGAAGAAATCCTTAAACTTAAACACACAAAAAACAAAAAAAAACCCACCCCACCCTCCCCAAAGACACTTTTCTTTCTATATATTCGCCTCCGATGTCTTTGTCTTAGAATTTCGGGTTGTACGAACACATTTCATTCTTTTAGTTTTCGAAAGAGTATTACAGCATTTACAGCACAGATAGGTCAGATAAGTGCCGAGAACAAGTGCAGAACTGGGAGCGTAACGACCGACACAACACGTTACTAAAGAAATTAGGATGAAAAAGAAACCAGACTGTTTCCAGCTTCTCAGACCACAACTAGACTTGGATAGAGTTAAGTCAGTACAAAGCTGTAAAAGCAGGGCGTAAAACACAGTTATCTGTTGGTTGTTACAACTAGGCATGTACACAAATCATTAACTGGAGAGTGACATACACAGTAAAGAAGGAAGACAGATATGGACGATAGATGTTTGATAGGATAGAAAGAGGAGATATAAAGACGATAGATGTTTGATAGGAAAGAGGCAAGGATATAATAATGACGATAGATGTTTGATAGGATAGAAAGAGGAGATATAAAGACGATAGATGTTTGATAGGAAAGAGGCAAGGATATAATAATGACGATAGATGTTTGATAGGATAGAAAGAGGAGATATAAAGACGATAGATGTGTAATAGGAAAAAGGCGAGGATATAATAATGACGATAGATGTGTAATAGGAAAAAGGCGAGGATATAATAATGACGATAGATGTGTAATAGGAAAAAGGCGAGGATATAATAATGACGA